AGCGTACTCCCAGGCCCCCTCCAGGATCCTTGCGAGAGTAAAAAGCTGATCCGTCGTTCCACGACCAGGACGGAATCCGCATTGTTCCTCCTCAATCTGAGGTTCGACAATCGGCCTGACCCTCCTTTCGAGTACCTTAGAGTAAACTTTCCCGGGGAGGCTGAGTAATGTGATGCCTCTGTAATTGGCACACACCCTCTGATCCCCCTTTTTAAAAAGGGGAACCACCACCCCGGTCTGCCACTCCTTCGGTACTGTTTCCGACTTCCACGCAACGTTGATGAGACGTGTCAACCATGACAGTCCCTCAACACCCAGAGCCTTCAGCATTTCTGGGCGGATCTCATCCACCCCCGGGGCTTTGCCACTGTGAAGTTGTTTGACGACCTCAGTGACCTCCCCCCGGGAGATTGGTGTCGATCCCCCGTCATACTCCAGCTCTGCCTCTAACATAGAGGGTGGAGTTGTCGGGTTCAGGAGTTCCTCAAAGTGCTCCTTCCAACGCCCTAACACTCCATCAGTTGAGGTCAACAACGTCCCATCCTTGTTGTACACAGCTTGGATGGTTCCCTGCTTCCCCCTCCTGAGGTGTCGGACAGTTTTCCAGAACAACTTTGGTGCCGCCCGAAAGTCTTTTTCCATGTAGATTTGGTGTATTACAGATTATTTTGTTACAGCACCAGTGTGCTCAACACTAAAATACAAATACTTAAAAAGTGGAAAAGAGTATGTATATTTCAGTTGTAGTAGTTGAAGACAAAGCAACCTTAAATTAACTTAACGACTACTTTAAAATTACTACACTTGTAGTCGAATCATAGAAACGGAGCCTCTCTGTCAGCTCTGTATGAGCAGGAGTTATTTTCTCACCATGTAGAGAGCCTGAAGCGCTCCGAGTGCAGCCACCATGCTGCTGTTCTTGTAGTCCTTGTGGGGGGGGCAGACTAGCAGGGGGCGCTGCATGCCGGCCTTCAAGGCCCTGAGAGGACACACAGGTGAGTGAGACAAGTAAAGAAACCTGGAAGTGAATCTGGAATATGACACACTAACAGGGGGAAATAATCTTCCATCAACTGACCTCTTGATGCCGTTGCAGGCTGCATCACTGAAGCGCCGCACGTCGTCATAGTCACGGTTCAAAGGGCCGGTGGAGGCAAAGACCAGGCGGTTACCAGGGAGACCAGGCACCTTCAGAATGACCACCTCCTGCCCCAAACTACTGTCCACCTAGAGGAGGAGCAGAAGAGCATTAACCCACATCTTGTTAGACTTTACAATCAAAACAATGCAAGACAGAATAAAGCTTTACCATCTTATTCTCAGTATCAGTAAAATATGACCCTTCGAAAAGAATGAAGCAGTCTTCATTGTTTATAAGATGGTTAAAATATTTGCAGTATTACATTTGATTAAGATTTGTTAATATCATGAAGACATTTAGCTAATTTAAAGTCCCAAAATCGTCATACATAAGAATGTATTGTCATGTCAATTGATTCCAGGTGTGATAGCTCCAAAGGAGGCTCAGGTGAGATAATACATGGACTTACAGAGCTGTAGTCCTGCAGCGGTGCCTTCAGGAACTCGAGCTCGGATGGCAGCGTGTCATGGCTCTGGGTCACCAACACGATGCCATCAAAACTAAGAACAAAGAAAACAACATCATCTAACAAACCTGTAAGAATGAATTAAAAACAACCTACCAACTGCATGGCATTAGGAGGAAGTGCAGCATCTTATGACTCACTTCTGGTTTTTGAGGTCGGAGGTCCATTCAACGGGCTGGACGCTGCACAGAGAAACATGCAAAGAAATGTTATTTCCTCTTCTTGTAGGAGCACTGTCAGCAAAAGTTGAGATAGTTCAGACAGAGTGATGCAATAAGTGTCTCAAATCAGTTTCTATAATGCAGGTTAACGATAACAGAGAGGGTCAAAGTGTGGAAACCTGTAGACCTTTGAGATCCACTTCAGCTTTTAAAAGAGTGGGACAGGCAGTGGAGGAATGTGACTAATGACATTTACTTAAGTATAATTTGTTGTTACTTTCATTTTTAAATGCTACTCCACCAGTTTTTACTCCACTACATTTATCTAACTTTTTCTAGAGCTGGAATTGCAGGGTATTTTGCAGATTCAGATTTTAATATAAATTGGTATGGTTATTATAAGTAACCCAGCTAAATCTAGAGTAATCAACCTTTCTCCTTCTTTAACAGCTGCAACATGTAAAGGGATGAACACATTAATGCATCAGTAAATGTAATCCTCTAATAAAATATATTTGCTATTCATATATTTTCTGCCAACTCTCAGTAAACATTTGAATGAATGATAACAATGTATTTCTAAACTGTGGTATAACTGCTTCTTAAGTTAAAGGATCTGTGTGTACTTTGTCCAACACTGGTGACAGGATCATTTGTTCTTCCCCGATCAAAACGGTGTACTGAGCACGCACATCATAAGGGGCATTGTCCACAGTTTGTGTATGATGATGTGAACACGTTAATAAGTCAGTTTTTTTTTTAACATGGCCAGAGATGTTTGTTATCATGTGACAATTGCGCAAAGGAAGTAAGTTCAAGCTAAAAGTGAAAATCAGCAGAAAAAGAGAAAATGACAAAAAGCCTGTGTGGGCCCGTCTAGTGTAAACTGAACCCAGAAATAAGCAGATGTACTGCAACATGAGAGGATCAGATTATATACATTGATCTGTGAGTGAATCCACAAACGAAGCACCACAGCACAGATACATTAATTCACCAACCTTAAATGTAATGATTAAATAAATCCAGTTGAATAAATGACGACATAAAACATAACTACCAAACAATACCCACTCAGGGTTTTCACCGAGTTTTCATGCACACAGCTGCACGTTAGAAAACATCTAAAGCCTATCAAGCATCAGGCAGGTAAAGTTAAAATGAAATTGGATTTAATCTCACCTGGTACACATTTTAATCATCCCACTCTGGTGTCTTCAGGGTGAAAGACAAAGCTGATAGCCGGCGACAACGGCTCCTTCCCTTCTGTCTCTCCGGTTGGTCACATGATCCGATAAAATGCACCCTGCTGCCTTCGCGGGCTTTCCGGAGCTCGTAATCCCAACGATCTGAGTCGTACCATGCTACCTTTCGTGTGTTTAAATAGTCAGTAGTTTCTTAAGGACCCAGATGAAGTACCTCAAGTGTATTCTAGCAAAGATACGCTAATTCGATGTTGTTTGTTCGTCCACAAAACTGAAAAATATGTATTGTAATTGCGGTAGTTGTGTGAATATTAGAAAGTTCCCATTGCACGTGAAGGCGCAATAAAGGATAGAGTAGGGAATTGTAGTTTCCAGAGTTTATTTAACAAAAGCGGCATTCAGAAGATTTTAAAACCAACACATAATTTATTTATTTACAGCATATTAAAAATATGACTGCTACACTCTGCCGTTAGCTTTCGTGGAGTATCCATATCGCGTCCTTACAGGACTGACCACATGAAAGCAATAACCGGAAGTAGTTTTAAAAAGTGTTTTCTGTGCAGAACCGGGGAGGCAAGACAGTACAAAGGGCAAGTACGAAGCACCACCTGACCTGGTTATTCAGTGGTAGATAACAGTGTCACATTCCTCCTTAAATTACATTTGATCTCAGGTTTAACAATCATATTGCCAAGCTTCTGTTCGAGCTGCAGGTAGGCAGAAGTTACTCTTGCTGCAGCTGTTCATGCTTTTATGGTCCTCGTTATGATTAACAGCTTTATTATTCATTGATAGCCGGCTCTGATAAGTGTGCATTGTTGCAGATATGCTGACAGGATTTGTACTTGACCTAATTTGTCAGCCTCAAACCGAAAATCTAGTTTGTGTAGCTAGTATAGCTCAGGAAACTATGAGTTTCTTGCAATTTATAACTTTTCTTTTGTAAAGTTTATTTAAGGGGTTTTGTCTAAAGTATCCCCAATGTGTTTCATAAGGACATGGAGGTTGTGTAAGTCCATAGTGAGTAGTAAATGGGTAAACTACTAACACATACAGCTAAGAGGATAAGTAAATACACCCATGGGTAGACTGAACTGTAGTCTGGGCCAGCATTTAATGACCGCACAATTATTATCCAAATTCAAAACATTTGAGCTGAATAATTGGAATCAATTTTTCTTCTAACGAACAATCTCAATTTTGTTTTGATATGCAACTCAGCTATGCCGAAACATGAAGCTAAGTTTGTCTAATTCCATCATACACACAAATGTACTGTCAGTTGTGAACAAGAAATCCACCAAACTTAAACATAAACTACATTGTTTGTGTTATCAAAGAAAAATGCCAAAGCGTAGACATCAGTTCGCATAGCTCTATGTGACAAACACCCAGCATCAACTTTACCATTTCTGAAAACGTACTGGTGTCCACTATTTTATGGCACTTGACATGTTGTGAATTGGCATTAAAGGGCAATACATAATGTATGTGAGCCTATAAGACCCCTTCAGAGAAATTAATCAAATTTTCTGTATTTTCTTTTCTCTGACATGTTCCTCCTCCTCTCCTAATCACTTCTCCCTCCTGTATCGTCCACAGATGAGACTTCCTCTTCGCTCTTTTAGCATCTTCAGGAGTTTATTCTCTCACAGGAAACAAACATCACACCCTCAGAGGCGAGGCTTGAGCGGCGTAGGGATGCGTCTAGTGCAGTTTCATCGCCATGGTGAGGGGGGAAGCATCAGAGTGGGGGTGGAGCAGGGGGACGGGGGGCTCGGTGTGGTGGACCTAAAGGCCTTTGACCCCTCCATGCCCTCCACCATGAGAGAGCTGCTGGAGCTGGGAGACGAGGGTCTGCAGTGTGCACAGAGGTATCAGACATCCAGTCTCAACAAATATCTTTCCTGTTTCCATATACATTTGCTCATAAATTGCCGTCTTCTTCTTCATGATTGAACATCAGTCATAATTATCTTCCATAATTATCACATCCCTCTTCCTCCTAAACATCTTCTCAATAAATCTTCCAGGTTACCTTAATCTTCTTAAATGTGCATATTTTTTTCCTGAATAGATCTCTCAAATCAACATCCTTCTTGCTTAATCATTTCCATCTTTTATCTTCTCTCTTTAATTGTCAGCTTTTTGTATGTTGAACATATCCTTGTTAAATCCCCTTCATAAATTACACTCATTGTAAAACACAGATGGTAAATCACCATCTTGCTCAATCAACTAAATTGTCCTCTTCTCAAATCACCATCTTGTTCCTTCCTTAATTAACAATTCATCTTCTTGATAAATCATCTCTCTACTAAATCATTAAAACCATCATCTTGTGGAGAAAAAACATTGTGTTCCTAAATGGATTTGTTGAATTAGTGTCTGTTTCCTACAACTTCATCTGCCTCAACATCGTTGTCATACTCTGCCATAAACGTTCACATCATCGTGTTCTCACTTCTCCTCCCACCTTCTTCGTCCTCCTCCTCTTCCTCTTCCTCAGAGCCTTGTCCTCGGGTCAGTGTGTGTTGCAGCGGTCAGACATCCGGCTGTTGTCTCCTGTGTTGGCCCCGGAGAAGGTGGTGTGTGTGGGCATGAACTACCGGGACCACTGCCTGGAGCAGGACGCCCCCATCCCCAAAGAACCAATCATCTTCAGCAAATTTCCCAGCGCCATCACTGGGCCGTACGACGACATCATCCTGCCCCCGGAGAGCCAGGTGGGAAACTTTTGTTGTATGTCACTTCTGAACATTATTATTTATGTGGTTTACAACAAGAAAAAAGAAAGGGAAGAGATTAAAGAGACACAGGGGACTACAACTTAGATAAGATAGACAAAGTCAGACAAATGCCTTTGACGTTGCTTTCTAAAGATGTGTATTGATTCGTTTTTTAGGAAGGATGTTTCAGGGACATTTCGTTTTCAGCCTTCTGCTCCTCGCTGTGGTCAGAGGGCTCAAATACTCTTAAAATCAATACAAGAGAGCAGAGAAGCTGAACCGGTGTTATGTGTGATCTGTGTTTCTGCAAAGCTGCAGTTGAGCTAGAGAAGATTTGTTGAGGCAGTTGGACAAGGCGTTGCAGTAATCAAAGCGTTATGTATAGAGGCATGAATGAATTGGATTCCAAATATTTATGTTGAGTTGTGTTTCTTCATTTAAAAACGTTTCTTTATGTAATTAAAGTGGGACTGAACCAGAGATGTTGCACTTGGCTGAACATTCAGTTGGAAAAAGTCAAAAGTAATTACAATTCTTAATATTTTAACAAGCAGATGAATTCAATTTGAGTAATTGTGCAGTGTGAAGAGAAGCATAAGCAATCAAAACTTTCCACAGGAGATGCACTGTTCTAAATGGGGGGGAGCCAGGGGGAGCATGGCTCCCCCGAGGAGGGAGGGAGCTCCCCTGAAAGCCGACTTTGAGATAAATAGGGGGAGCCCAAAACAATCGTGCATATTTGTGTGTCACAGATTAGAAATGTTGAGTTTCTGTAAATAAAAGTTTTTGAAATAAATAATAGTTATTGTTCATTACAGTTTCTGTATATTTGTTTTATATTTGTGAATATTTCTGGGTGTAGCGATCTGTACGTGGCGGTGCTGCATTCTTTACGCTACTTACGTTGCTATGGTTACGTCAGGCGATGGTTACGTCAGGCGATGCCGGCTCTGGCTTTGTGATAAAAAATATGGCAAAACAAAAACAGCCTTGCCTCGCAGCTTTTGGATTCACAAGCAAAGAAGCAAAGGAGTCTAAAAATGACAACGTGAACGGAAAACAACTTTTAGTTGGCCGGCTGTAAGCGGCGTTAGGGTCGAGTTTGACAGCTCTTCACCGAATTGAGTAAAGTTGGAACAATATTGGACATTCTGATTTCACGGATCAATAACTGATGAACAAAACGTTATTCAGACACAAAGTACGTCTCCTAAGTACCGTGGTAAGGTTGACAACAAATACGTGCTGTCCTCCAAACTGGACACACTACATTGGTCTCTATCCGCAGCCGGAGAAGAAACGAGTGCTCAGGGGCCGTCTGCAAAGTGCAACTCCCAAAAAAGAGAATACAATAATATTCAATCACTTCACATTTATACAGTATATTTCTACCAAACTCACTACACACATCAATAGTCTCCTGTTGCTCATACTACAGCAGAGAGTTTGGAAGAATGTGCTTTTGAATAATTTTGGTGAATATTTCTAATGTAAAATCTTCAATAAACATGGCATCATCTTCAATAACTTTACTATTATACAGTATAAATATTCACCAAAATTATTCCAAACCATATTCTTCCAAACTCTCTGCTGTAGTACCAACAGGAGACTATTGATGTGTGTTGTGAGTTTGGTAGAAATATAATAGTAACGTTATTGAAGATTATACCATATTTATTGAAGATTTTACATTAGAAATATTCCCCATATTATTGGAGGACAGCACGTATTGGCTGTTTTTGATCAACATGTGATTGTAATTCGTTGTCAACCTTACCACGGTACTTAGGAGACGTAATTTGTTTCTGAATAACGTTTTGTTCATCAGTTATTGATCCGTGAAATCTGAATCTGCCAATATCGTTCTAACTTTACTCAACTTCCACACCGAGGGAGAGGCCTGCCGATGCGGAGCCTGAAGAGGCTTCAACAACGGCCACAGCCGCCGGCGTAGTGACACCGTCTGTAGTAGTAGCAGAGTGATTTTATAGCAATTGATCGAATCTGCGCTGCTGCGCCAGTCAACAGAGCGTGCGTGTGATATATTTAGTCGCAGGATGTGCTCTGAAAAATAGGGCTCCCCCGAAAGCAAATGGGTAATTCGAACACTGGATGGATGACTCATTTTGCCCGTCTTGAGCCATTTAGCTTATTTCTTGTCTTAGAATCATAGACTTTATGAAGCTTATGGGTCAACACTAACCTCTCTTCTTTTGTAGGATATTATAGATAGAGATGAATACATGTATAAATGTCTGTTCATGTAGTTTTTGAAAAGTCCATACCAATTTAAATGTATAGTTGGTACATGCTTTTTTTTCATGCACTTTGGAAGGTCATGGA